GAGGATCCCTGCAGTACAGACATCCTCCCTCCAGTAGAGAATCCCCCTTCAGTACAGACCCCCTCTCTCCCCACCAGTACAGAATTCTCTTCCAGTACAGACACCCCCTCCCCACTAGTACATATCACCCCTCCAGTACAAACCCCCTCTATTCCCACCAGTACAGACTCCCTTCTTATATAGGCCTCCTCTCTTCCCACCAGTGAAGATCATCATCCCTCCCCAGCAGTACAGGTTCCCCCTTCAGTACATACCCCCTCCCCACCTCCAAAACAAAGCTTTCCTTTCCATTACTGACCTTCTCTCTCTAGTAATGGCCCATTCCCCCCATTAAGTTAATTTGGCTGTAGCCAAGGAGCAGCTCCTCTCAGCTTGCCATATGCATGAGCTGCAGGGAGATTTGCAATAAGTTGGAAACCCCCCGGTCACATCGGGTGAGACTTGGCATGCGATTTGCATGCCATGCGACTTGCAAATCGTATGCCAAGTCGTACCCTATTGTCTTCTATTAGAGCGGTCATATCGGTGCGGTTCCGACTTGCATGCACTACTTTTGTTGTGATTTGCATAGACATCTGTGTCAGATGTCTTGCAAATTGCAACTGAAATCGGCAGGTCACCCTATTTTGAAATCGTGCAACTTCACTGTAAGTCGCACAATTTCAAAATCAGCTTCGATGTGACCAGAGGCTAAAGCCCTCTCATATGTAAATTCCATGGTCAGACCATGTCCTCCATGACTGTAATGTGTGCGGGGCATGTGGGCCCCAAGGGGGTGCCCACTGTGCCCTTACACATTTGTAAGCAGGATCCTCATTAGTCCCTAGCAACTACCATGCTGATCCAAGACACCTCCCATTGTCCTCCTGAGACAGGAATGGAATGGGGTACCATACACCTTGATTATGAACTCTGCTATTGTGGATATGTGACCCTGGCCTGAGGCACACTTCTGTAAATAAATTATTTTTCCGCACAGTCAGATATTTGAAACATTTTACCATGAACACGGACAGGGTACAAGTTCTCTCCAAGTCAAGTCACCCTGTCTAATTCTGCACATAAGTTGCAACACTGTCCTCTCTGGATCCATTTTAAACAAGGTGGGGGGGGGGGGGGGGGGCAACCAGCTCCTCTGCCTTTTTATCCATGTAGGTCTTCCATATTTTTTGGCTCTTCTCCCTTTCCTACTCCAGAGGGGCCTATCTCAGCAATGAAATGGAACTTTACATGGTAAGGGAACCAACCCAATCACACACACCTAGGGGCAGGAATCACAATAAAGGAAAATTAACCCCCGCTTACACCCTGAGAAGTGTGGAGAAATAACATTAGTTTCCCTTCTGTCTCTTCTGCAGTTGCACTTGTCACAGGCAGCTGCAGCTGTGTAAAGGTTTGTGTATATGCCATGGTTAGGTGGTAAAGGCCAGTTCAGGAGCTAGGAGGGTAGGCCCTATGATAAGGTGTGGTTTAGCCCCACCTACTGGACATAGGGTTACTTACTACTGACCTCTGAACATTGTGTCATTTACTCCTGACCTATGAACTCTGTAGTAAGTGATGCAGAGGTCAGTAGCAAGTGATGTTAAGGTCAGTAGTGGTGCAGACGTCAGTAGTAAGTGCCGCAGAGTAAGTAAGTAATGCAAAGGTCAGTAGTAAGTGTTGCAGAGTTCAGAGGTCATTAGTAAGTGACACAGAGTTCAATAGTGATGCAGAGGTCAGTAGTTAGTGATTCAGAGTTCAGAGGTCAGTAGTAAGTGACACACAATTCAGAGGTCAGTAGTGATGCAGAATCATTAGTTAGTGATGCAGAGATCAGGATTCAGTAGTAAGTGCCACAGAGGTCAATAGTAAGTGATGTAGCGTTCATAGGTCAGCAGTAAGTGATGTAGAGTTCAGAGGTCAGTAGTAAGTGATGCAGAGTTCAAAGGTCAGTAGTAAGTGACACAGAAGTCATTAGTAAGTAATGCAGATTTCAGGGGCCAGTAGTAAGTGGCACAGAGGTGAGTAGTAAGTGATGCATTGTTCAGGGGTCAGTAATAGGTGGCACAGAGGTCAGGGGTTAATAGTTAGTCACTTACTACTGACCCCTGAACAGTTGCCCCAATGTCTAATGTTGGGCCCTGGCCCCTACAATGTACCTTCACACCTCTTTAAGCCAAGTCCAATATTCACCAAAATTAGAAATGGGTATGCACTGCATTTTCTTGCTCCAGAGCCATGGGGCCCAATTTATAATTTTGCACACAGGCCCACTGCTTTCAGAAAACTCACCTGGTATGCAAGCAAAGTATACAAATGGCAGCAATAATCTATTGATTCTTGCTGGCGGCTGTCCCTGGCAGGCTTTGTTCACACAGGCATACTTAAGCCTACACCTATACAAGGGCTGTGTTTGTCTGCACAGGATGCCCATGTGTTCTGTGTATTTGCAGGCAGGTAGCCCTATTCATGTCAATTGGGAGGTGGTGGATGCCTGAACACAACTGCTGCTCTAAATTGGACATCTGTGTGGGTATGGGTGTGTGTCCTCAAACATATGCCCCCTGCGTTCCGGGACATGCACCCGCTCTCACAAATTAGCAGCAGTGGCTGTTTCTGTGCATGCCTCCTCACTGGTTTAAGAACATGATCAAATAACTGAATGTCTCTCTGTGTTGCCCCCCATCCCCACCACCTCTATCGGCTCCCAGTGCTTGAAATATGTTAGACAGGCATCGTCAAGAAGTCTGACTGCCCCATTATCATAGGTTGTCCGTATATGACCTCATTCAGCCACCTACCTCATGCACTATTCATAACTCAATGTCTGGAATGTCTAGGAGACAATATGACCACCAGAAATGTGCAAACCATACCAACCATTTTCTTTCTTTGTTATGGCCAATCCTTCCCTCTCTTTATGGGACACCCAGGGGCGGACTGACCATTCGAGCACTCGGGCACAGCTCGAGGGCCCGGGGTCAGTAGGGGGCCCCATGAGATGCTCCTGGTACCTTTCATTGGCTTTTTCATAGGCTTTTTTGGGTGTGGGCAAGGACACAGGGGCCCCATGATCCCCTATTGCCTGGGGGCCCCATGAGTTGTCAGTCTGCCCCTGGGGACACCTATCTGTGGCCAAATTAAAGTATATGTCTTGGCAAATAAAAAAAAAATACAGAAAAATACCTGATAATCCTGCCAGAAATCCACTGATCTCCTAACTCCCTAAAATGAGTTAAATTGTTACTAAACCCAGGACCCCGCATTCACTCTATATTTTCTCCCACAGAACACAGAACATGGAAATGCAATTATTTTAGTAAATATAAACTGCTAAATAGCTTTTCTCATCAGCAGTCAGAGCAATCTTGTAACTTTTATCAGTGTCCAGCAGAGCACTAGTTAAAGCTTGTAGAAGGAGTTTTCATTCTACCCTGTGAGGCTGCAGGACTCCTGACCCTCTGTCTGGACAGTGCTGATTGGTCCTGTGCTGATCATATGCACTCTTCCAAGAAAAAAAACCTCTCTAGCATATGCAGCTTGCCTCCAAGCCTCTGTTCTATCAGTATATATATCAGGGACAGTAGCAGAAGGGGAGGATCAGAGAAGATAAGATCAAACATCCTTTTTACACAATGTGGAGGATTAACCCCTTAGGTCCCACAGTGAGTATAACAAGCATGCTTTTCTGCATATAGAGACTGTTTTTACTGTTGTGAGTTTAGTAACACTTTAAGAACACAGTGCCTCTGCAGCAAATAAAACTCAAGTAGTGTCATCAGCCCTGCCCAAGACTCTCCTGGTATTTTTATGTACTTAGAACATTTTTTAAGAGATCCAACATGGGGAAAAGTGCATTTATTACAGAGATGTACAGTCCTTTTTTAGTATCCAGACATACACTTAGAAATGAGATATTGGTGAACGTTCAACCTGGTTAATGCTTATTGTACAGTAAGTAAAACTGTGCAATTGTTATTTTATTATTCTGTACCATACTATGTTCTGATGCAGACTAATTATGCAACATTTGTATTTTATTCATATGTATGTACTTGTATTCTGAAATTGTTCTTGTTCTGGCTGGAGCTGAATTCTAAAAACCTTTCAATAGATGCTGACTATGACAAAATATAAACATGGTCATATGAATAACAGTACAGCATTTAAGAGCTGCAAAGTTGGTAAAATGGAGGACAATGTCCCAGAATCCAGGACAAACTGTATCATTTGACCAATATGATCAAAACAAAGTAACAAAAGCAATGCATAGGCTGGTAAAAGTAACAATGTAATGCCATGGGAAAATAGTAAGAAATAAACCATAACAAATCCTAACAAAATCAAGGCCACAAAACAACAAAATGAATTCAAGGCCTTCAAATTGCAGATACGCCCTGCATCTGCAAATAAAAATAACAATGAAGAGAAACCATGGTCTTTGTATTTCCAGAGACCCAGTTAGTCATCCTACCTGGTGAAATCACCTCCGTAACTTGATTTGAAATAGCCATGTTTAATAAATATCCAGAACATTAAGGCTTGGCAGATAGGCAGATTGCTAAGATTATTGTGATTTACTTGCTAACCATACAAGTTAACCGGTGTTGGTTAACGGGAAAGAATGCTCAACTATGTCTTCATTGATCAAGGTTTTGGGTAAAGGGAAAGAATAATCAACTATGTCTTCATTGATCAAGGTTTTGGTTAAAGGGAAAGAATAATCAACTTTGTCTTCATTGATCAAGGTTTTGGTTAAAGGGAAAGAATGGTAAGCTAAGTCCTCATTGATCAAGGTTTTGGTTAAAGGCAAAGTCTGGTCAACTAAGTCTTCACTGATCAAGATTTTGATTAACTGCTTCCCCACCGCCCTATAGCAGAGATACTGCTACAGGGCTGCACGAGTGCGCAAAATCACACACACACACATATATATATATGTGTGATTTTGCATTCCTGGGTAGGACTACCCGCGCCACCATTCGTGGCCACGGCTGTCAATCACCGAGTCCCGCCCGATGATTACTTGCCGGCGCCTGGTGATTGCTGTGCATCTCCGACAGGGAGAACTGTTTGTGAGCAAAACAGTTCTCCTCCCTGTCATTTCGTGCACACTGCTTTGGATGGCTGTGCACAGCACAGCCATGCAAAGCAGTGTGCTTACAGTGAAGCACACGGACACAAACACAAGTAAAACAGCACACAGCACACAGTTAACCCTTTGATCACCCCTCATGTTAACCCCTTCCTTCCCAGTGTCATTAGTACAGTGTCAGTGCTTTTTTTTTTAGCACTGATCACTGTATTGGTGTCAATGGGGATGTCAGTGACACCAAGTCAGTTTCCCCCAGTGTCAGAATGCCCGCCGCAGTCCCGCTATAAGTCGTTGATCGCTGCCATTACTAGTAAAAATGAAAAGAAAAAAATCCCAGTATATATACCGCCATTTGTAAATGTTATAACTTTCACGTAAACAAATTAATTTACATGTATTGTAAATTTGTTTTGTAGCAAAAGACATGTAGCAGAATACATTTTGGCCTAAATTTATGACGAAATTTGATTTTAAAATTTTTTTTACTGAACATGTTTAATAGTACCAACACACCACCTCCCAGTAAAACACTCGAACACTTGATCGCTCCTCAAGTTATCCCCTTCCTGCCAAGTGCCATTAGTACAGTGTCAGTGCTTTTTTTTTTAGCACTGATCACTGTATTGGTGTCACTGGGAATGCAAGTGACACAAAGTCAGTTCCCCCCAGTGTCAGAATGCCACAGTCCCACTATAAGTCACTGATCACCGCCAATTTGTAGACACTATAACTTTCACGTAAACCAATTCATTTACACAGATTTTTTTTTTTAGCAAGGAAATGTAGCAGAATACATTTTGGCCTAAATTTATGATGAAATTGCTTTTTTAAATTTTTTTTACTGGACATGTTTAATAGCAAAAAGTCAAAAATATTGTTTTTTTTTCTCAAAATTGACGGCCTTTTTTTATAGTGCAAAAAATAAAAAACTCGCAGGCGATCAAATACCACCAAAAGAAAGCTCAATTCGTGGGAAAAAAAGGGGCGTAAATTTCATTTGGGTGCAGCATTGCATGACCGCACAATTGTCAGTTAAAGTAACGCAGCGTCGTAATGCAAAAAATGGCCTGGTCAGGAAGGGGGGTAAATCCTCAGGAGGGCAAGTGGTTAAAGGAAAAACACAGTCAACTATTTCTTCAGTGATCAAGGTACTTTTGTAAGAATATGCCTCCTGCAGGAAGAATTGATGAGCATTAGTCTAATGTTCCTTTTAATTAAAGCTGTTGGAAATTACATTATTTACATAAGTAACAAGTCATAATAATGTTAGGATGAAACTGATGAATCTTTATTTGAAAGGAACTTCTACTGGCATTGCTGCCCTTCTGCTTACTGGCTTCACTATTTTCTGAGTCAAATGTTAATAAAAAATCAAAGACAGCTTTCCTCTTCTGATAAATCAGCTGATACCTGGAGTGTACTTTTATAGTTCTAGGCATGTTGAATACAAACAAAACTGTACAGGAATGCCTGCCTATTCAGGTTAATCTCCTATAAAAGTCCAGGTTTATTGTAATTACCTTAAGGGCCCATTCACATTATGGGATCAATTTATAAAAGATTTTCAGAGCAAATTGCTTCTGGACATGTGTCTGTATTTTAAACATACATTTTTAAAGAGGACTCACTGTATGTGTTATGTGGCAGATGGGCAAATCTTTTTTTAATGTAACCTCCTTCTGCCCACATAACACATATGTGCAATGGCAAGGAGGGTGGACTTTAATATCCATGCACTGCACATACCTGAGCTGCTCTCTGTCCACAGTCATGATCATGAGTCGGCAGGACTGGCTCCCAATACTTCCTGCCCCCTGGACGTACAGACCCTATTATAGGGAAGCTGGGTCTGGAAAGGATGGGGTTAAATGTGATGGGTGACTCTTGTTTGTCTTGGAACCTCTATATTATGTTGTACACAGCGGTTAATGGGTGAGTCTTGTTTTAAAACAATAGATGAATTTTCAGGAAAAAATTGACAAATCCTCTTCAAAAATGCTTGGTGAATAGGGCTAATCCTCTCTGAATATGGAAAGCAAGATTCACCCACCAAACCAAGCAAGATTCACCCATCTGCTGCATCCTCTTTGACAGTGAATACCAAAAAATACAGATGAATGAATGGTATGTCCAGAAAACATTCCCTGTGCAAATCAAATAACAAATCTTATATAAAAGTGCATTACTTTAATAATTTATATACAGTATCTCACATAAGTGAGTAATCCCCTCACATTTTTGTAAATATTTTATTATATCTTTTCATGTGACAACACTGAAGAAATGACACTTTGCTACAATGTAAAGTAGTGAGTGTACAGCTTGTGTAACTGTAAATTTGCTGTCCCCTCAAAATAACTCAACACACAGCCATTAATGTCTAAACTGCTGGCAACAAAAGTGAGTACACCTGTAAGTGAAAATGTCAAAATTGAGCCCAAAGTGTCAATATTTTGTGTGGCCACCATTATTTTCCAGAACTGCCTTAACCCTCTTGGGCATGGAATTCACCAGAGCTTCACAGGTTGCCACTGAAGTCCTCTTCCACTCCTCCATGACAACATCATGGAGCTGGTGGATGTTACAGACCTTCCGTTTGAGGATGCCCCACAGATGCCCCACAGATGCTCAATAGGGTTTAGGTCTGGAGACATGCTTGGCCAGTCCATCACCTTTACCCTCAGCTTCTTTAGCAAGGCAGTGGTCGTCTTGGGGGTGTGTTTGGGGTCGTTATCATGTTGGAATACTGCCCTGCGGCCCAGTCTCTGAAGGAAGGGGATCATGTAATGCTTCAGTATGTCACAGTACATGTTGGCATTCATGGTTCCCTCAATGAACTGTAGCTCCCCAGTGCCGGCAGCACTCATGACACTCCCACCACCATGCTTGACTGTAGGCAAGACACACTTGTCTTTGTACTCCTCACCTGGTTGTCGCCACACACAAATGACACCTTCTGAACCAAATAAGTTTATTTTGGTCTCATCAGACCACAGGACATGGTTCCAGTAATCCATGTCCTTAGTCTGCTTGTCTTCAGCAAACTGTTTGCGGGCTTTCTTGTGCATCATCTTTAGAAGAGGCTTCCTTCTGAGATGACAGCCATGCAGACCAATTTGATGCAGTGTGCGGCGTATGGTCTGAGCACTGACAGGCTGACCCCCCACCCCTTCAACCACTGCAGCAATGCTGGCAGCACCCATACATCTATTTCCCAAAGACAACCTTTGGATGTGACGCTGAGCACGTGCACTCAACTTCTTTGGTCGACCATGGCGAGGCCTGTTCTGAGTGGAACCTGTCCTGTTAAACCACTGTATGGTCTTGGCCACCATGCTACAGCTCAGTTTCAGGGTCTTGGCAATCTTCTTATAGCCTAGGCCATCTTTATGTAGAGCAACAATTCTTTTTTTCAGATCCTCAGAGAGTTCTTTGCCATGAGGTCCCATGTTGAACTTCCAGTGACCAGTATGAGAGAGTGAGAGCGATAACACCAAATTTACCACACCTGCTCCCCATTCACACCTGAGACCTTGTAATACCAATGAGTCACATGACACCAGGAAGGGAAAATGGCTAATTAGGCCCAATTTGGACATTTTCACTTAGGGGTGTACTCACTTCTGTTGCCAGCAGTTTAGACATTAATGGCTGTGTGTTGAGTTATTTTGAGGGGACAGAAAATTTACACTTTTATACAAGCTGTACTCTCACTAAATTGTAGCAAAGTGTTATTTCTTCAGTGTTGTCACATGGAAAGATAGAATAAAATATTTACAAAAAAGTGAGGGGTGTACTCACTTCTATGAGATACTGTATATTTTATTATGTTGTTTTTTTATATTGTATTATCAATTTTGAATGCAGAAAAAACATGAAGCGATAACTGCATTTTCCACTATGTGCGGTTTGGTGTGCCGTACTGCATGTGTGTTTCCAGCTGCTGTACACATTATATTATGCATAAATGTGTGTTTCAGTAGCATGTGTTACCATTTGGTAGAATGCACCCTTAAGCCCCCATTCACATCAAGCCTGACTTTGAAATCGTGCGACTCACAGTGATGTCGCACAATTTCAAAGTCGGGGGACCCGCCGATTTCAGGTGCGATTTGCAAAACATCTGATCAGGGGCGGACTGACCATTTTGAAACTCGGGTACTGCCCGAGGGCCTGGGGTCAGTAGGGGGCCTCATGAGATGCCCCTGGTACCTTTTTCATAGGCTTTTTTGAGTTTGGGCAAGGACACAGGGGCCCCATGATCCCCTATTGCCCGGGGGCTCCATGAGTTGCCAGTTCGCCCCTGCATCTGAGACTAAAAGTAGTGCATGTACTACTTTTGAAATCGGTTCGGCTCCGATCAAGTCAGAACCGCACCGATATGAATGCTCCAATTGCGGACAATAGGGTGCGACTTGGGCAGGGCATGCAAATCGCACGGCAAGTCGCACCGATGTGAATGGGCTGTAAAGCATACTCACACATTTCAAACAGTATTTTGGAAAGTTTTGGTTACCTTTGCTTACGCGATGGAATCACAGGAATCACAGGGGTGTTGCACCTATGAACACCATAACAGCTTTGATTTCCTGCCTGTGAGCAGGCAGGTACATGAAGAAGTATAGAAAATGTATGTAACAGACGTTTTCCACCATTTGTACACAGGGTATGTGTGAGACTATCCAATATATTGACATAGATTTATGTCCCTCTCATTTGGGTCAGTGGGAAGGAAGAGAGACCTGTAACATGCTATAAAACCATCTCAGCATATCCACAGTCAGATTTTTAGCTTAAACATATCTCTCTAGCTACTTTTCTTCTCCTTTTACTCATTTTGTTTCTTATTCAGGCACACATTCACTTTGCTTCCTTCACTCTTTACTCAGGTTATCTGGATCTAAAAGCTTTAGATAAATTACACCTGGCTCCTACACTTTTTTCAATCTCCTCTGTGCATGGTTCTTCCTGCTTTGTTTCATTTTATTGCCTTTTTTGTACATTTGTGTCAGTTCTATTCTAGCAACTTTTCAGGTTCACCGAATTGTTGCGGTACCATTCACTACACACTTTCACACAGATGTATATATTCCCACTTTCAATTTCTACTCTTTCGTTTTTTGTCTGTTTCCAGCATCTTACAGCTAGGCTGTCTCTTCCTGTTTTGGCTTCAGCTGCGTGCCAACGATATGGGTTATCCAGTCCTCTCCACAGCGCCCAGCCAAGACTGACTTGGTTGGTTGCTTCCTTATCGCACTCCATGTTTTAGGCCAGCATTGTTTCTACTAGCGTTTTATCAATTTGCGTCTTTTTTTTAATGTGTAAGTACTAATACATTTTTACGATTGATTATAGATCTGTACATGGGTAGGCTTGGTTTTGTTAGTTTTTTTTGTAATGTATGATATATACATTAAAAATGTATATTTTTAATGTATATATCATATACATGAATACACATAAAAATGTATACAAAATATACAAAAATATATTTTTAATGTAAGACACAGCATCATCATTCATTCTCACTGCTCCTGAAGAAGTGAACGTTGGTTCACGAAATGTATCGAGATTTGTCAGTGTTGGATTTATTTTAATATGTTAAACATTTTGTATGCATTATGACTATTTATACTTCTATGTGCACCGTGTTTATATTTACTTTGGTCTATACACTTATCTTAAAGTGAAGCTCCACCCAAAAAGGGGAAGTTACACTGGTACTGGTAAATACTGGTCCCACGCTCCCCATGAGGAATTGGCACCTTTGCAATGAGTACACCACTGAATCATGGGGCAGATGAGTGGCTGTTTTTTAACTGCTTCCCGTCCACACTGTAGCAGAATTACTGCTACAGGGTGGCAAGGGTGTGCAAAATCACATATATATATATACATGAATTTGCATTTCCAAGTAGGGGGAGGCGTGCAAGCCCTACTTACACCGCTATTCACAGCTGTGGCTGTCAATCATCGGGTCCTGGCCGGCTGTTTAGTAAACAAAACAGTTTTCTCCCCTGTCAGCTCCAGCAGTAAAACAGCACACAGTTAACCCTTCAATTGCCCTGCATGTTAACCCCTTAACCTCCTTAGCGGTAATCCCGAGTGTAGCTCGGGGTAAAATTTCTATACCAAGAGCGGTAACCCCGAGCTACACTCAGGCTTACCATGCAGCAATGCTCTGGGGGTTCCTGCAGCACTTAACTTGTCCTTCGCTCCCGCGATGTGTCCCCTGCAGCATCCCCGGCCATCTCCTCCGGCCGATGCCGGCATCCGACTTCTGTGTTCCGGTCCCTGTGACGTCGGGACGTACAGGCGGGAAATTTGAAATTTTAAAAAAATGTAATTTTTGCTGTCATTGCTGTTTCAATGCATTTCACATATATTTTGTCCCTACTGCTTTGTCCTGTGCCCTGCCTGCATTTTGAATGTTCTTTCTGCCTGGAAACTTAGAAAAGTCCATGGCGTCCAAAAAGCGTCCCTTTACGTCAAAAGCGGTTTTAGAACAGCGATAGTAAATCAGAACCACTTGCAGAATTGAATGATGATTCGTGGGGGAAATTCGTCATCAGACACTGAAAACGATTTTGCGACTTTGCTCAGCGATGTGCGAATTTGCCTCTGTATTTCAAATTTCAGTGTTTTTGGTTTGATTATATTATTGAATTAAATTTATTATTATTATATTATTATTTGTTATGATTATTTATTAAATTATAATTTATGATTTCGTGTTTCAAATTTTATCATATCTGGAATGTTTAATAGACTCTTGTTCGTACAGATTTCAGTGAGTTATTCCTAAAAATTACAGCCTACAATAAAAAACTACATATTTCCATGCAAAAAAATGGTACCGCTTTCAGCACAAAAAATCAGAAAGAATCATACCGCCAAGGAGGTTAATGCCCAGTGCCATTAGTATAGTGTCAGTTCTTTTTATTAGCACTGATCACTGTATTGGTGTCACTGGGGATGTCAATGACACCAAGTCAGTTCCCCCCAGTGTCAGAATGCCCACCGCAGTCCTGCTATAAGTTGCTGATCTCCGCCATTACTAGTAAAAATTAAAAAACAAAAAATTTCCAGTATCTATACCGCCATTTGTAAACACTAAAACTTTCATGTAAACCATTTAATTTACACGTATTGGGATTTTTTTTAGACTTGTCGCAGAATACATTTTGGCCTAAATTTATGATGAAATTTGTTTTTTTTAATTTTTTTACTGACATGTTTAATAGCAAAAAGTAAAAAATATTGTTTTGTTTCTCAAAATTGTCGGTCGTTTCTTTTTATAGCGCAAAAAATAAATATATAATTTGGCTGCAGCGTTGCATGACCGCACAATTGTCAGTTAAATTAAAGCAGCTCCGTAACGCAAAAAATGGCCTGGTCAGGAAGGGGGGTAAATCCTCTGGAGGGCAAAAAGTTCAGCAGCTACAGTTTTTGTAGCTTCTGACTTTTATTTTTTTAGCTTTGACTGGAGCTCCACTTTAAGTGTTTTTAATATGTATTTTTGAATAACATGTAATGTTTTTAATTTTGTTATTTGCATGACTTGTGAAGTCCCTTGGAAACTCTTTTCTATGTATTAAATTTGTTTTGGGGATTAAGGCATGCTTCATCCACACATATTAGCCATCTATTATTATATTATTATTAGCTTAAACATTCTTACAGCCAATAAACCATTTGTTTTGGGTGTATGGTTTGTGTGAATTCACCTTTTTTACTTTTCTCTTTAATAAATCACCGTTTATCAATTCAATTCCAATTTAGTTTTTAGTTTTGGTCAAGAACAGTGGAAAATAATGACTAATGTTTGTGGTTTTATTTGTATCATCTCATTATAAAATTTCAACACTGTGTTAAACATTTTTCAAAGAAGGGTTGACCTTTTTCCAGTGCATCAATTATTTGTAAATTATAATTTAAAGTGATTGTAAAAGGAAAATGTTTTGTCTTTAAAATACCAAACATGTTATATGTAAATGCTTTGTGTAATGATTTTGCACAGAGCAGCCCCAATCTTCCCCTTCTTGGGTTCCCCCAGAGGTGGTCCTGGCTCCTCCCCCCGCTGAGTGCCCCCATAGCAAGCCAATTGTTATGGGGGCACTCAGGCTGGCTCAATCCTGAGCCATGCTCTGTGTGTCCATTGACACAGGGCATGGCTTGGCCCCACCCCTGCATCCTCCTCACTAGCTGTGATTAACAGCAGCAGAAGCCAACAGCTCCCACTGCTGCATCTGAGCCAGTGAGGAAAGAGAGAAACGATGCTGCTCTCATGCACAGTGCTGAATAGACATCGGACTCGGGTAAGTATATGGAGGGGTTTGGGGGAGCCTTAAGAACCACTTTAAGTTCAGGTTGCAAAGAGCAATAACCCATAGCATCTAATTAACTATTATCCAGGCATTACTCAAATCTACAGTCCAAGAAAAAAGTCTGGCAGCACGGTAAGTATTGTTAAAGAACTTCCATTTTTAAGTAAACGGAGATAAAAATGCAGCCAAGGAACTTACGCGTTTCTATCATTTGTTGCGCTATATGCACAGCCTATAATAAAATAAATCTTCTCATTTCGGTGTCACTGTTTCTATTGGTGTTAAAACTGCACAGCTTAATGTATGACCTCTGTATGTAGTCTAAGAACTGACATTTCCTGTGAAGAAACTACATATCTCACAATCCCTGGGTCTCTCAGTCCAGTGCTCTGCAGGTGAGAACTAAACAGTAATTAGATCTGACACAGACACAAGCAGGCAGAGCAATTAACAGGGAGATCAACATGCAGTCTTTCATCACATTACCACTCTCATATTTGTGATGCAACACAAAAAATGGGGAGACATGGACTGGACCCGGCATTACAGAGGACAAGACGTTGCCTGTCCTTTTAACAAATAGGGACAAGCAGGGTAAATGAATACATGGATACAGGGGAATCGATCAGCCACGATACTATAAACTCTAGCCATAATTGGTGAGCTCATCATTGCAAAGTAAGGCCAACAAAGGACACAGGGAATATAACTACACTGATACTTCATGAAAACAACAAAAACATTTGAAAGTGTATAATGCCTTTAACCTCCCTGGTGGTATTCCCGAGTGTAGCTCGGGGTAAAGTTTCAGCACCACAAGCGGTAACCCCGAGCTACACTTGGGCTTACCATGCGGCGCTGCTCCGGGATCCCTCAATCACTTACCTTGTCCTGCGCTCCCGCGATGTCCCTCCTGCAGTGTCCCCGGCAATGTAATCCGGCGGATGCCAGCATCTGTCATCTGGGTTCCGTCCCCTGCAAGCGTCGGGACGTACGGGCGACGGAACGGCGAGAAATTTGAAAATGACAAAAAGTGACATTCACTAAAATCACATAGTAAAACATTACTGTATCAAAGCATTTCACATATATTTTGTCCCGAGTGCTTTGTCCTGTGCCCTGCCTGCATTTTGACTGTTCTTTCTGCGTGGAAACTGAGAAACGTCCATGGTATCCAAAAAGCGTCCCTTTAGGTCAAAATCGGTTTTAGACCAGCTAGAGAACAGCGATAGTAAATCAGAACCACTTGCAGAATTGAGTGATAATGATTAGTGGAGAAATTCATCATCAGACACTGAAAACGATTTTGCGACTTTGGTCAGTGATGTGCGAACTTGGCGCTATATTTCAAATTTTAGTGTTTTTGGTTTGATTATATTATTGAATTAAATTTATTATTATTATATTATTATTTTTTTTATGATTATATATTAAATTATAATTTATAATTTCGTGATTCAAGTTTTATCCTACCCGGGATGTTTACTAGACTCTTGTTCGGACAGATTTCAGTGACTTATTCCTAAAAATTACCTACAATAAAAAAAAAACATATTTCCATGCAAAAACATGTACTGCTTTGAGCACAGAAATATGGACATAATCAGACCGCTAGGGAGGTTAATATAAAAGCATAGAGATACATATGTTGTAAGTGGCACGAGAAATATTTGATACGTAAAACATCATATCCAGAATATAATGCACAGAAAAGGAATTATAGATATATTTGTAAGTAATATCATTGTGATGCTGTTAGGTACACAAGTCCTTTATGTAAATCTTTTGAAGGTGTAGTGGCCTGTATTGTGGACTGCACCCTTTGCAGAAATTGCGCACACCAGCATTGTCCTTTTCTTGGCAATGCTCAGTGTTCAGCTCATTTGCATCACCATCTGTGTTTCCATGCATAACTCTGAAAGTTTGAAACATCCTGATTCTTGCAAATCTGTACATTTTAATTAAGAGCATTTGTGCAGCACTGTAAATGTCAAATAGTGCTGTTTAGCTGGATTATTGTATGTTTTTGTGCCTTTATACTGCATCTCCCATTGATATACCGAGTCCACTCTCTGTGAAAAGTAAATAGAAGACACCTGCTTTTCCTGTCAGAAAATAAGTGTAGTAACCGCTCAGGACTTATTTTGAGTGATTTTTTTCCTCAGTTAAATAAAATCCGATTGGTTACTCCTTGTTCCATTTGATTGCATTAACCCAACAAATCTTCCTGACTTCTGCCAGAACTACAGTAAATTAAGCCATCACTCGTGGCTATGTACGAGGATATGCAGGGGCCAAGGTCCCATACAAACAAAGCTCTTGAATCCATGTACAAATTGTAAATTACTGGAAATTAAATGCAGCCATATACATTGTTACTAAACTGAAAAAAAAAAAATGTTGACCAATTATTGTATCCTAGCAAGGCAAATCAATGTATTATATTATAACAGGATTGCTAATCATTTACCTTAAATCTAATTATGGATTTTACTATTCACAGAACAGCAAAATTCTTTTATTATGGTTTGTTCAATTAATTGCTTTTGGATCTTTATATATGGTTTGACAAATTAAGACATTTAAGGATTGGTACCTTTGGGGAGCGGGTACCCGAAATTGACAGGTACCAGTTCCCACTTCCGCTGCAATCGCCTAGGTCAGTGGTCGGCAAGCCGCGGCTCGCGAGCCACATGCGGCTCTTTACACGCTTTAATGCGGCTCTTGTGTGCCGGGCGCCCGCTCCCCTCCCTCCTCTCGGGCGGCAGGGACTCTGCAGCGTGATCCAAAAAAAAAAAACAGCCAGGGCAGCGCGCTCAAATGCAATGATTGGCCAGTCTCGCTGCCACTCACATCCTGATAGCCAGTGATTGGCTGTCAGGATGTGTGTAGGCGGGGCAGCGTGACGAACGTGAGAGGAGCTAGGCTCCTCTCACAGTCCGCCCTGAAGATCGGAACGGCGCGGGAACACGGCGAGAGGAACGCGCGGAGCAAAGGTAAGTGAATTGACACAGGGGGGACTTGGCTTACTACTTGCTACTTACTTACTACTACTATATGAGGGATGAATTAATATGGGGGATGAATTACTATAGGGGGGATGAATTACTATGGGGGATGAATTACTATATGGGGGATGAATTACTATGGGGGGATGAATTACTATGGGGGATGAATTACTATAGGGGGGATGAATTACTATATGGGGGATGAATTACTATAGGGGGGGTGAATTACTATAGGGGGGATGAATTACTATATGGGGGATGAATTACTATATGGGGGATTAATTACTATATGGGGGATGAATTACTATGGGGGATGAATTACTATATGGGGGATGAATTACTATGGGGGATGAATTACTATATGGGGGATGAATTACTATAGGGGGGATGAATTACTATAGGGGGGATGAATTACTATATGGGGATGAATTACTATATGGGGGATTAATTACTATATGGGGGATGAATTACTATGGGGGATGAATTACTATATGGGGGATGAATTACTATATGAGGGATGAATTACTATGAGGGATGAATTACTATATGGGGGATGAATTACTATATGGGGGATGAATTACTATGGGGGATGAATTACTATATGGGGGATTAATTACTATATGGGGGATGAATTACTATATGGGGGATGAATTACTATGGGGGATGAATTACTATAAAAAACTTATTGAAACTAAAAACTGTGTACCATC